AACACCGTACACATGTACGCGCACACCTCTTCTTGGACCCCTACCCCGACTCTTTTCTCCGGACCTCTTTGTCCTTCCTGCGCCCGGTGTGTAACCCCCTTGCACGTAATGGCCGACCACCATATCCTTCTCGACCCCCCTCCGCTACCCTCTTCCCTTGCTTCACCGAATCCTTTCTGCCTTCTTCCTCTTCTTCTTCTGCTTCTTCTTCTTCTTCTTCTTCTTCTTCTTCATCTCTGGATTTATCCTTTACGTATCTGTCGTTGGTAACTATCCTTCGCTACCCTGGTGTGCTCCTTTCATATTCGCAAGCTTCCTCCTTGAACATTTCAACCAAACGTCTCGGAATAACTGCTTTCCGATTTCGTCCTTTGCAATCGATGCATAATAATAACTAGCCAATTCTCTGCCGGTAGTTCTCGCGTTAACGCTAGATCTTCGGACATTTATTGCAGTTTGCTCGATAAATTCCTTATAAAATTCAGTATCTGCCAAATTGGCATTTATCGTAGTTTACTCTATTCTTTGAAACATGTTCGTTCGTATAGATCTAAGAAACTGCATATTTAAAAATGTCTTATTGGGAAACATATTCGCATAATTACGTCAATGAGAATTTACCTAAATATCTATCAAATAATATGTATAGAATTCAGCTAAATATCCACCAAATAACATTTATAGAATTCAATATAAAAATCGGCTCGTTAATCTAGCGTCAACGACACCGTTCGCAGGTTAGGTAATTAGTTCCGATATTTTCCGTCAGCTCGTCGACAATCGTCCCCGACGAGACGATCGCACCGTCGTGTCCCGCGGTCGTGTCGGTTAGAAGAGCGCGTTCCGCGAGGGACACCCGGTATGAAGCTGTTGCTCGCTGGAAACGGGAATTCCTCCCGTTTATCGCGCCACCTATCCCCGCGTCGCTTTTCATGCGCCGTTTAACGAGGTTCTTGACGTCCCGACCGGCGGGGACCGTGAACCGCGGGAATAATTCGACAGGTAGAACCTACGTTTATGCGGGACCGTCGGCGAGAGAGTCCCATCGCCGCGGACCCCGGGAATACGCGATTCGCGCGCCGCGTTTTGTCATTCTAGCGCGCCGTTCGCCGCGGCCCGACTTTCGATAAATATAAACGCCGCTGTTTACCGTGAATAACAAACGCTGCTGGTTTACGATATCGATCGCGATCGAGGCATCGCGATTTCGCCGTCGATACTCGACCGTTTCCCGGTCCGTTCGTCAACCGAATCATCCGCGAAACTGCGTAACACGCAATGTAGAACGAAGCGGTGTACATTGATTTCGGGAATTTCGAAAAAGAAAGGAAACCTTTCGCTTGAAACTTCAGTTTGCCAGTAGATTCACGGAACCCGTTAATTTGATGGATATTGGACCTTTTAAGAATTAATTGGTTGCAGTTCAAGTTTATCTTCGTTGCAATTTATCTTCATTGAAGTTTATCTTCATTGCAATTTATCTCCATTGAAGTTTATCTTCGTTGATCTTCAGTTGTGCTAGTACATATTAGAATTCTCCTTTCTTGAAACACTGATTTCTGCGATCTATATGTAGAATTAACACTGCCGAGCAAACACTCATCAAAACTACTGCGCAATCGAAGCAATTTTCTTAATCGAGCAGAACCTAAAAGGTCGATATTCTTCACAACGATTGCTCCATCTCTCTGGTACCTCGTGCATCTAACAGATGGTTCGTTCGTTGCGTCACCAAGGGAATTAATATTCAAGTTTACGTAAATAATGGTGTCACACGAATTCGCGAGGCGGCGGGCAAAGCGTTAATTACCGCGCGTTAGAATCGTACGCGGGATTGCCGGGGTAATCCGCTCGAAAACGGTCGGAAGCCAAACAATCCTCGGTCGCGGGATTGCCAAATAAGCCGTAAAAACGGGGGGTCATCGAAAGCAGCCGAGCCGCGCGCTTTCAAATTACAAGCCGAGTCGCACGGTAGTTTCTCCGTCGCGGAAACCTCGAGAGCAGAATCCCCGACGTAAGCGTTCGCTTGTTCGCTCGCTCGGCGCTCGAGAGATATATTCCGCGCGCACTTTCACCGCGGAAACCCGCGATCCGGCGCGCGCGTGCAGAAGAGAGTCGGGGTGGCGAGCCTAAATTTTACAATTTCCGATCGGCCTTTGTCGACCTTAACGGGGAAACTCGGGTAAATCTCGATGGAATAAATAACATTCTCTTCAGTTATCGAAGGATTTACTTTTCAATGTTTCCTTTGCGAACTGAATTTGTGATTGCTAAGCAATCAATTCATTGAAATTTGAGACATTAACAGTCGCATAAGGCTTCCGAATTGCTTGGAAGCAATGGTAACGCGAGATAACGATGAAAATGTTTGATAACGCGACTAAGCTGACAGTAGGATAGTAACTCAAAGTAATTAGCGATTGTACCCCTTTCTCCTTGCTGCAAACAACTGTATAATAAAAGGGTGGAGATTTTCGGTGAACGTGAAACGTCGTCTAACCCGAAAGCAGCCAGCTAACGAACGCTTCCCCGTTCCGTGTTGCAGATGCCACAGTGGCTGGATGGGCGCGTACTGCGACCAGTGCGTGAGGTACCCGGGCTGCCTTCACGGTAGCTGCCAAAAGCCCTGGGAGTGCCTGTGCGACGAGGGCTGGGGCGGTCTGTTCTGCAACCAGGACCTGAACTACTGCACGAATCACAAGCCGTGCATGAACGGCGGCACCTGCTTCAACACCGGCCAGGGTTTGTACACCTGCTCGTGCGCGCCGGGCTTCACCGGCACTGACTGCGAGAAGCCGCTTTTGGACTGTCACTCGAAGCCCTGCCTAAACGGCGGCTCGTGCACCATGGACTCGTCCTACAGCAATTCTAGCCTGACCGCTCTCGCGGCGAAGAGCGGCGCGGACGCGTCGAAGCAGCAGCAGCAGCAGCAGCAGCAGCAGCCGCAGCATCACAGGACAGCGTACAAGTGCACCTGTCCGCCCGGTTGGCGGGGCAGGCACTGCGAGATCAGCACGAGATCCTGCCGGGACTCGCCGTGCCATCACGGCGCCACCTGCGAGGACGACTCTCTGCGCGGGTACGTGTGCCGGTGCCCGGCCGGCTACACCGGCAACGACTGCGAGTCCCAGCTGAACGAGTGCTCGCCGAATCCCTGCGAGAACGGCGGCAGCTGCACGGACATCGTGAACGGCTTCAAGTGTACCTGCCCGCCGGGCTACACCGGCGACCGCTGCGAGACCAACATCGACGACTGCCAGGGCGACCCCTGCCTGAACGGCGCGACCTGCGTGGACCTGGTGAACCAGTTCCGCTGCCAGTGCGTGCCCGGCTACGTCGGCAGGATCTGCCAGGACAAGGTCGACTACTGCCTCGCGAAGCCCTGCGCGAACGGCGGCGGCTGCATCTCGGGGACCAACG